AATCATTTGTTGTGCCAAGCATGCTTAATTAGAAGTTAATTGTATCAATGATTATTTTAAACGTTGTCTAGAGAAATTCATATATTTGAATGTGAGTTGTTTTATGTGTAAAGCATGCTTAAATGTATTTTGTTATATCTTAATGTGTTAATAATTACTTGGGAGATGTTGAACATGTTGAATGTTTAATTTTATGGTGTAGAATTTTAAATGCCATGACATTGAATGTATGGAACATATATACATTCACATACCATTGGGTTTGCATGAAATGGGAGAAATTGTTCTTGAAATAAATATGGGGAATTTCAGGGAAGTGTTTTTGATGAAATGGTTTTATGCAAAACCCGGTCGCTGCGGGGTTACTAAAGGGCCGGAGGTTAATATAGCCTAGAGGGGACTAGGGAGTCGCCCTAGCGTGGTTGAGCTAGCTGGGCCCCATAATGATGCCGCGGGGTTACCAAGGGTCAGGGACACTAGCCAATCCTCCTCTCGTGTCGCGGCGGGGCTACCAAAGGGCGGACTGTATTAACAGTTTGGAAATGATGTTTTGGATTATGAAAATGGGGAGCGACACTAGCATGCATTGCATCTCATACCATTGCATTGGATATACTTGAGATTGAATCGTTATGCTGTATTATTTCCCGACATTGTATGATCCCCATTTCCCATTGGCCTATGCTTTGTTTGGATTCACAAGGACACAAAATGTGTATCTTAAGTGTCACCTGCTGAGCTTTATGCTCACCCTACTATTTATATTATTTTTTTCAGGTTTTGGAAATGAACTGGTGGACGACAATCCACCTCAAGCTTGAAAGTTGTTAGAAGGTTGTTTGCTATTTTGTATTTTGACCGTTCTATGTATATTCGTAGTTGTGGAAATGTAACTAAGTTAGTATTCACGGCCTTGTAACTTAAGAAAGAACTTATCTTTTGTTTGATATAAATGAAACTAGTGGAATTATGGTATATGTTTCCATGCAATTATATCATGTAACGTTGTAAGACAGGGACTTTAAATATTAATCTTGTATTTTGGGACTGTAATTATGATAATTTAGATTAATTGGTGTGTGGATGTTCCACCATAAGAGGAACTATGTTGAGGTATAATGAACGGATGAATGGGATGCTGGATGATTTTATGTGTTTTGTGTATTGGGACAGGTTGTTGAAGGCCCATTTTTAGGGTTGGTTATGCCGAATTTTTTTTAAATTTTGGCATCAGCTAGGGTTGTTACAAAATTTGGTATCAGAGCGATGGTTCGAATGCCATTAGGACGACGGGTAGAGGCTTGCCTAGGGTTGTCTGCGAAGTCATTTGCATTGTTATTTCCTTGTTTGGAAAAGTGTTTTGCTATGTGAAAAGGCATGCTTAACTGCTTACCTGCTTACGTGCTTATGTGTTTATATGCTTACATTAATGTGTTCATTGCATGGTATTACATGCTAAATGTTTGCACAGTATGTTTTTGCGTTGGGTTATTCACGGTTGGACCTTAGTGTTATCGTTATTGAATTGTTTCCTTTGTTTTATAAAACGATGTCACGGCGTGAGGAAATCAGGGAAGTTGGCCCTAGACCGACTAGGGGTGATGTTGGCGAGAGCTCCAGCTCCAATCCGGAGGAGCTAAATGATGAGGACATACTTCTTAGGGACTTGATTCCCTCGAGAGCTGTCCCCATAAGGAGGGATAATGTTGAAGCACCCGTAGAAGTGGGTGAAGGTTCTGTGGCACTGGAGTTTAATCGTTTGTTGCAAAATGTCGTAAGGGCAACGATTGCTGCTCAGTCGCAGTCGGCACCACAACCTACAGTTCAAGTTGAGGAGACGCCAGCTCAGAAGCATCTTAAGATTATTAAGGGGTTTTCTCAGCTGATGCCGGTTATGTTTGAGGGCGGTGCGGATCCAATGATAGCAGATGACTACATGGAGCAAGTTGAAACTCAATTGACTTCTATAGATGTGACGGAGGATCATTTGAAGATCATCCTAGCTACTTATAAGTTTGCTAAGGATGCCAAATTATGGTGGAAGTCGATTACGAGCCAGTACAAGGTAGAAGAGATGAGTTGGGACAAGTTTAAGGAATTGTTTTATGAAAAGTACTTTCCACTTTCCAAAAGATGGGAGTTACAAGACCAGTTTTATAACCTTATCCAAGGGAGCATGTCAGTGGCAGAATATGAAAACAAGTTCACTTCACTTTCTCGCTTTGCTCCAGAAATGGTGAAAGATGAAGCTAACAAGACTCGGAAGTTTGTTTCTGGTCTTAATGATCGGATGAGGCCGTTGATTACGGCACAGTTCATTAAGGTTTACTCTGAAGCAGTGGAAATGGCTTTGATGCTGGAAGCTGATAATAAAGAGAAGGATGCAAGAAGAGAGCAGTTGAAGCAAAAGAGGGGTGCAGGGCCATCTTCAGAAGGATCTTCTTGGAAAAGGAACAGAGGCGGTCCATCTCAGTTTCAGGGACAGCAGTCTGTACGATCTGCTCCTACCACTCCGTTGCCAGCTGGGTCTGATAGGAGTGCAGTTGTTTGCTTTCAATGTCAGCAGCCTGGGCATTACAAGTCCAGTTGTCCCATGAGATTGACTTCAGTTTCTTCAGCTCCGAAGGCTTGTTATGGGTGTGGCCAGCAGGGCCATTTGATTCGGGACTGTCCGAGTCAGGGAGCAGGAACCACTAGTGGCAGAGGGTCACGGCAGAGGCCGTTATAGTTGACTACGGTTCAATCAGGTTTCAGACCACCGCTGCCACCACCACAGCCTGCCTTATCTTCTCAGGGTTCACGACCAGCTAGGAGGGATACTCCTACTGTGTCGGCACGACAGTCTGGTGTTCAGATTAGTAGTTCACAGGCACAGGCACCGCAGGGGCGTGTCTTTGCCCTTGCATCATCGACTGATGTATCTCCTGGATCTTCAGTTCTCCGAGATATATTTCCAGTGTTTGGTTCTTGGGCTCGTGTTTTGTTTGATTCTGGTGCATCTCATTCTTTCATTTTATCATCATTTGCACTTGCATCGGGGTTAGAGGTTAGTTTTATGGATCGGGCGTTGTGTGTTGATACGCCAATTGGAGTTTCAGTGTCTTTGAGCAGAGTCGTGAGGGACTGTTCCATTGTGATAGCCGAGCGGACTTTTGTGTTTGACCTTATCCTCCTGGAGATGACTAGCTTTGATGTCATTCTCGGGATAGATTGGTTAGCTTCCTTTCATGCCACGATCGACTATTTCAGAGGAAGGGTTACAGTTTGTACTCCCGAGGGAGACTGTTTCTTCTTCGTGGGAGATCGAAGTGATTCCCACATTTCATCGTTTTATGGAATTCGTGGACAGAGTCGTGGTGATTACTTTTTGGCTACCCTTATAGCCGAAGAGGATGATGTTGTGGAAGAATATTATCCTGCAGTTGTTCGTGATTTTCTGGATGTGTTTCCAGAGGATTTGACAGAGTTGCCTCCACACCGAGAAGTGGAGTTCTCTATTGAGTTAATGCCAGGTACCGCGCTGATTTCTATGGCACCGTATCGTATGGCACCAGTTGAATTGGAGGAATTAAAAAGATAGCTTGATGATTTGAGGATGAAAGGTTTCATCTGACCGAGTGTGTCACCATGGGGCGCACCGGTCTTGTTTGCTAAGAAGAAAGATGGTTCTTTGAGGTTGTGCATCGATTATCGGAAGTTGAATCGCGCCACTATCAAGAACAAGTATCCTTTGCCAAGGATAGATGATTTATTTGATCAGTTGAGGGGAGCCAGTTGTTTCTCCAAGATTGACTTGAGGTCTGGCTATTATCAGTTGCGGGTTAGGGATGAGGATATCCCGAAGACAGCATTCCGTACACGGTATAGACACTATGAGTTCCTTATTATGCCTTTTGGCTTGACTAATGCTCCAGCGGCATTCATGGACTTAATGAACCGCGTCTTTCACGATTACTTGGACCAGTTTGTGGTAGTTTTCGTGGATGACATTCTTATGTATTCACGATCTCGGGAGGAACACGAGATCCATTTAAGTATTGTTTTACAGATTTTGCGGGAGCACCGGTTGTATGCCAAATATGAGAAATGTGAGTTTTGGCTACAAGAGGTGAAGTTTTTGGGACATGTTGTTTCAGAAGGCGGAGTGTCAGTTGATCCATCAAAGATTGAAGCTGTTTTGAATTGGGAGCAACCCAAGAATGTGTTTGAGATCCGTAGTTTTCTTGGTCTAGCGGGTTATTACCGGAGATTTGTGAAAGATTTCTCCCGTTTGGCAGCGTCTATGACCCGTTTAACTCAGAAAGGGATTAAGTTTGCATGGAATGAAGCCTATGAGTCATCTTTCCAGGAATTGAAGACAAGATTGACTACGGTTCCAGTGTTGGTAATACCTGAGCGTGGCTTGGGTTATGTGATCTATTGTGATGCTTCACGTGATGGTTTAGGGTGTGTGTTGATGCAGGATGGTAGAGTAGTGGCTTATAGGTCTCGACAGTTAAAGACTCACGAGTATAACTACCCTACTCATGATTTAGAGTTGGCGGCAGTTATGTTTGCTTTGAAGTGTTGGAGACACTACTTGTATGGTGAAAGATTCGAGGTGTACTCGGATCATAAAAGTCTCAAGTACCTTTTCTCCCAAAAGGACTTGAACAATAGACAGAGAAGATGGGTTGAATTCTTGGAAGATTATAATTTTGACTTGCAGTATCATCCGGGCAAGGTAAATGTGGTAGCAGATGCCTTAAGCCGAAAATCTCGTGGAACTTTGGCCTGTCTGGTTATTCGGAAGTGGAAGATGCTTAAGGATTTGGTAGAGATGGGATTGTATTGTTTTGATGATGATGTTGACAGCGAGCCGGCATTCTTGTTTAGTCATGTGGCTCAGCCTACTCTTATTGTACGAGTGATTGAGTCACAGAGACAGGACCCGGATTTAGATGCCATTCACGCTTTGATCTCCAGTGGTGAGACAGTGAAAGATTGGGCTTTGTATACAGATGGGGGTCTACACTTCAGGGGTTTGTTGGTGGTTCCAACTGTTTGTCGTGAGGACGTCTTACAGGAGTTTCACACTTCCCACTTTGCAGTTCATCCAGGTGGTACCAAGATGTATCACAATTTGAGACGTCAGTATTGGTGGAACGGGATGAAGAAAAATGTTGCACAGTTTGTGGCTAGATGCCTTACCTGTCAGCAGGTGAAGGCCGAGCATCAGAGACCAGTCGGTTTGTTGCAACCATTACTTGTAGCACAATGGAAATGGGAACATATTGCTATGGATTTTGTGACAGGTCTTCCAAGGTCACGAAGGGGCAATGAGTCCGTATGGGTCATCATTGACAGATTGACCAAGACGGCTCACTTTTTGCCTATTAAGGCAACAGATGATGCAGAGAAGCTTGGTGTTCTTTATGTGAAGGAGATTGTAAGGTTGCATGGAGTTCCAGTAACCATTGTTTCAGATAGGGATGCTAAGTTCACTTCAAAGTTCTGGGAAGGACTTCAAGCAGCGTTTGGTTCAGCGTTACATCTGAGTACGGCATTCCATCCACAGACTGACGGTCAGTCGGAGCGTACTATCCAGATTTTAGAGGATATGCTTCGGGCATGTGTGCTTGACTTGGGTGGTAGTTGGGAGGATCACCTTCCACTTATTGAATTTGCCTACAACAACAGTTATCAGGTGAGCATTCAGATGGCTCCGTTTGAGGCGTTGTATGGTAGACCTTGTAGGTCTCCTGTTTGTTGGACTGAGGTAGGCGAGACAGCAGCCTTAGGACCTGACATTGTACTCGAGACTATTGAGAAGATTAAGTTGATAAGACAGAGGTTACTTACAGCTCAGAGCCAACAGAAGAGTTATGCGGATAAGCGGAGACGATCGTTATCCTTTGAGGTGGGAGACCACGTTTTTCTTCAGGTTTCTCCACGGAAGGGATTGATGAGATTCGGGAAAAGTGGCAAGTTGTCTCCACGATTCATTAGACCATTTGAGATTTTGGACCGTGTAGGAGAGGTTGCCTAGAGACTTGCTTTGCCACCACAGTTAGATAGGGTCCACAATGTTTTCCATGTATCGATGCTACGGAAGTACGAGCCAGATCCATCTCACATTTTGAGTTGGGTTGATGTAGACATTGATGAGGATGTTTCCTACGAGGAAGGACCAATTCAGATCCTTGACACACAACAGAAGGTGTTGAGGAATAAGACGATACCCATGGTGAAAATCCTTTGGAGACACCACGGAGTCGATGAGGCTACTTGGGAGCTCGAACAGGAGGTTCGCTCCAAGTATCCAGAGTTGTTTTCTCCTCCAGGTATGGCTTGATTTCGGGGACGAAATCTTTTAAAGTTGGGGAGAATGTAAAGTTTTTGACTTTATCTATATATATAATTAGTATAATGACTTTTTCAACTGTGGGGACCACCCATTACACACCCATTTAGTTCCAATTTGCTTTCTCTCTCGGACAGCTTAAATCTCTTTCTCTCGCTGCTTCTGTCTTTTTCTTTTCTTTTTTCTTTTTCAACTTCAATCCTTGATTTCTCTCTCAATTCTTAGCGGATTTAGGTGCCGTTTGAGGCAAAACGAAGCCCACGACGAGCTCTACGCATCCATACGAACAATTCCAGATTTGGTGCCCTTCTTGGAGTTCGAAATTCAAGACCCATTTTAAGGGTTTTGTGCAAATTTGAGGTTGGGACACCTTAATCCACTACCTTCTTGTTCCATTGTGAGTTATAATCATTTGTTGTGCCAAGCATGCTTAATTAGAAGTTAATTGTATCAATGATTATTTTAAACGTTGTCTAGAGAAATTCATGTATTTGAATGTGAGTTGTTTTATGTGTAAAGCATGCTTAAATGTATTTTGTTATATCTTAATGTGTTAATAATTACTTGGGAGATGTTGAACATGTTGAATGTTTAATTTTATGGTGTAGAATTTTAAATGCCATGACATTGAATGTATGGAACATATATACATTCACATACCATTGGGTTTGCATGAAATGGGAGAAATTGTTCTTGAAATAAATATGGGGAATTTCAGGGAAGTGTTTTTGATGAAATGGTTTTATGCGAAACCCGGTCGCTGTGGGGTTACTAAAGGGTCGGAGGTTAATATAGCCTAGAGGGGACTAGGGAGTCGCCCTAGCGTGGTTGAGCTAGCTGGGCCCCATAATGATGCCGCGGGGTTACCAAGGGTCAGGGACACTAGCCAATCCTCCTCTCGTGTCGCGGCGGGGCTACCAAAGGGCGGACTGTATTAACAGTTTGGAAATGATGTTTTGGATTATGAAAATGGGGAGCGACACTAGCATGCATTGCATCTCATACCATTGCATTGGATATACTTGAGATTGAATCGTTATGCTGTATTATTTCCCGACTTTGTATGATCCCCATTTCCCATTGGCCTATGCTTTGTTTGGATTCACAAGGACACAAGATGTGTGTCTTAAGTGTCACCTGCTGAGCTTTATGCTCACCCTACTATTTATATTATTTTTTTCAGGTCTTGGAAATGAACTGGTGGATGACAATCCACCTCAAGCTTGAAAGTTGTTAGAAGGTTGTTTGCTATTTTGTATTTTGACCGTTTGAAAGACTTCTTCAGAATGTCCATTGGGAAATCAGTATCCAACACTCACTTATGCAGAACATCTTGAAGCTAAAAATGGATTATCTTCCACCGACTTGATTGGTGAGGGAAGATATCATTCTGTCTATAAAGGAATGCTCAATTCTGGTGAACAGGTAGTTGCTGTGAAGGTGCTCAACCTTCAACAACATGGAGCCAACAAGAGTTTCCTGGCTGAATGTGAAGCATTGAGGAACATTCGCCACCGCAATCTGCTCAAGATTATTACATCTTGCGCAAGCATAGATTTTAAAGGAAACGATTTCAAGGCTTTGGTCTTTGAGTTGATGCCAAATTGGAGTTTAGAGAGCTGGTTACACCCAACTTTATTTGAGCAAGATGACTTGAGTTCATCTGTGCTACCAGACTCAATGAGCTTGAACCTAATCCAAAGGCTAAACATTGCCATTGATGTGGCCTCTGCATTGGATTATCTTCACCATCATTGTGAAACAACAATGATTCATTGTGATCTAAAGCCAAGTAACGTTCTTCTTGACAGCGAGCTCTGTGCCCATGTTGGTGATTTTGGTCTGGCGAGGTTTCTTATAGCTACCAAAGATAAATCTGATCATACATAACCTAGTCTATCAACTGGAGTTCGAGGGACAGTTGTATATGCTGCACCAGGTAATTTATTATATCCTATATTTATTAAGTTTATTTTGTTTGATATATACTCTCTTCTTTTTTTTCTTTTTTTCTTTTTCTTTTTTTTATAAATTCTTTTGATATATACTATCATTATAACTTCATATGGAAATTTACTTAATATTGAACCAGAACCTAGGAAACCAGATGATAAGTTGATGAAATTATTTAATTAAATTCACTTTGCATTACCAAGTTGCCGAATTTTAGTTATAATATTTCTCTTCTGGCAGTGTCAGGGATTGAAAAATTTAGGAAATAGTAGGTATTGAAATACACACTAATATTTGTTTCGAATTACAGAATATGGTATGGGTGGGGAGGTGTACTATTTCCAATTTTTCATATTTTCCATTTTCTGAGATTTTTCCGTCTTTGTCTTGTTTTGCGTGCCGAACACCGTAGAGTGTGCCAGATGTGACTGAGGTTGGTTGGAGCATTTCCTTGAGCTCAGAACTCTTAGAAGTGCATTAGTTGCATTTTTGACATTTTTTTTTCCGTTTTTCGGGCCAGGAGGTCTCAGGTAGGACCCGCTACTGGGGTCGTTGTGCACGAGATTGCGTTTCGGGTCCATTACATTTCATGTGTAATTATTCTGGGCATATTTATTTGATTATATGAATTTTGTGTGGTGGTAAAGTTATTGTTGTATATGTGTGTGTATATATATATTAAAGAAAAGTGAGATTTTTTTTGGTGGGACCCACATGTGATTCATTTTTATGGTGTTAAGACCATTTTGCACCATCAGTTTCTCTCTCTCACGCTGTAATCTATCTCTCCCTTTTATTTTATTTTTTTCTTTTTCTTTTATGCCTCATTTTTTGGCCAATCGGTCGGGTTTCCGGTCTTGGTTCCTTGATGGAAAATGTTCCTCTCGTCGTTCTCTATCACACAGTCAAAGGATTTAATTTTTGGAAAAATGGTGATTATTTTATGAAATTTTGAAAATTTTCGATTTAAGGCTTCAGAGGGGGGTTTTGGACCACTTGGATCAGATTCCGGAGGCACGCTTTTGGAATAGTAGAATCTCCTCATCATTGGCTACGTTCCCACTGAACAGTTTTTCGTTCCGCCGCCGTTGACCGGCGTTGACTTCCGTTGACCAGCATTGACTGCGTTGACCGGCATTAACTTTTTCGGCATGGATGCATTTTGGCTACTTTTGAGGCAAGGATGTCTAAACTATTAAGTTTTGACTTTAGTTGAGTTCGTATACTTGAATTCTTGATAAACATGCTTAAAATGATAAATTTTGAAAAATTAAATGTCGGTTATGTGTTTACGTGCTAATGCGACGAAACATGCTCTAGATGATATTAATTGTGTATGTATATATGTACTTAGTTACAAAGTTATTTAATGAACATACCTTGCGTTGAATTTGTTTATTAAGATTACATAAATATGATGATGAGTATGTATGGCTAAACTGATAAAGTGCAAGCATGGTTTAGGAAAAATGAGGTTGAAATGATTCTTTTTAAAGAAATGTGTTTTGAAAGGATTGTGAGGAAATGATTTAGAAATGAACCAGATTTCGGGAGTCCGGGCTAGCTTAACCTAGAGGGAGCGCGGCCCGGTGTAGGGCGTGAAAAAGTTGATACTAGACTCTTTAAGGGTTGCTAGGCTTTGCCAGAATTGGAACCCGGGATAGCTATCAATCTCGCCTCGGTAAAGTCGGGTTTCCGAAAAGTGAGTGTTGGGTCGGTATAGACCAAGTTTGGGATGGGATGCATCACACATCATATCATGTGCATGATTTTGAAGAATTGTGATATGTGACTACGTATATTGATTATTATGTTATAAATGTTGTACGGACGGCAATTGCATGACCCCGGCTTCTTTTTTATTCCCGTTCTTTGGTTATTGGCTCAAAGGAGTCCAAAACCAGTGTTTTAGGCATTACCTATTGAGCTGTTGAGCTCACTCCTTATCTTAACATTTTCAGGAAACCGGAGGAGTATGGACGTATGACTTGTATCCATGGACTTAGACACCGCTGCCATTCTACCTACATTCGTGAGTTTTCTGTGATTTTAGTGATTTGATGTACTATGAGTCTTGGAATGACGTATATATTTTATGCATTGACATAGGAAAGGAAGGTAACGCCTTAGATGACCTCGGGTTCGGGTAAGGATCTGGTAAACGATTTGAACCCCCGGGTTCGGGTCGTTACAGGAGGTTTCGACATAAGGTGATGTGTAAAGATATGGAATTCTTTTATTGGAGATGTTTACTTTAAAAAGGCCTACTAGTAGCATGTTTACCGACAACTTTAACTTTACCCTTCGTAACTATGCTAAGATGGCACTTGCAGATGGAGTAACAGAGATTGTCAATTCCCTACTGATATTTGAAAAAGAAGATATGCCTGAAAAGACCAATGAACGTAACATTGGGAGAATAAAAGAGTGCTTGGTGTCAATCCTTAGAATTGGAATTGTATACTCTTTTGACCCACCAAGAGAACGGATGGATATTAGGGGTGTTCTCAATGAACTCCACAAGATTAGAAATGCATTTCGTGAAATAAAAAGCTCGTAGTAATGACCTTGTGGGACTGTTGAAAGTGTTGTTTGGTTGGAGGTTCTCCCTCAACATTTGGGTACTTTTAGCATGCTTGAAAATATTATATCCTTATGTAGAATGAATTATGGTTGTAAATGAGTGTTCTATTTTACTTGAATGAAGAACTTTGGAATAAAAATATTGAAACTATACACAAGGGTTACCCTTTCAACCAAAAGACAGAGAGTTTGTGTGGGCTCGCAGACTAAATTACTTGTCATACTGTTTTTTAGTTTTTACATGAATTATATCTTTTTAGTTTTTTGGGTAACAAAAATAGTTTTATTGATCAATTAACATAACAGTGGTGCTACGAGAAACACCGACAACTAAGAACAAATCAAAAGTCACGACATAAAAGTAAACACAGAATATCCAAAGAACACAAAGATTTACGTAGTTCGGTGTAAGCCTACGTCCACGGTGAGGATCTGGTGAAAATTTTCACAATGCAAAAAGAACAGATTACAAGTTTCAGCCGTTAAACCCTAACGCTCTCTCTCATAATCTTTTCTGCGGTTTTCAGTATTATTATCTTTTTTCACACCCCAAACCCTAAACATCCTTAGACACTGGGTTACAAGCAGGGGCGGAGCCGGGATTGCAAAGTACGGAGGGCTAAAAATAATTAAACCTATGATTGCTTAGTGTGTCATCCATGCTCTAAATACATAATTATCATGCATCAGTTATTCAATTAAACCCAATAATCTACAACTTTCTAACATATTTACACTTCCAAACTCTAACATATTTTTACAGTCAAGAATCCATTGAAGTTTGCTTCATACAAGTATTAAAACAAACAACTACAAGAGTACAAGATATATATATTCCTTATCAATAAATTCACATTAAAAAGTAAGACCTATGTGCTCTGCCCTTGACTAGTTATTAATCCATTATATAGTAAATTACCCAATTTAACAAGAAATTATCAAGTCATTAATAAAGCCCTTTATATATATATATATATATATATATATATATATATACAAAAATAAAGTTCAATATTTCACTGGATTAACAATAATAATCCATGATATCCATCTACTTATGCCTTAGTGCCTTACACACGAAAAGTTTAAGTCTTCTTCGATAGACTAACAATATGTTTTGATTTACTGGGTTGGGCCCTATTATATTTTATTATGGTTTATTTTGTGATTGGGCATGTCTATGGTTCGCGGGCTTGCTCATATTTAAGGTTTGACCTTTGTAAATTTTATAACTCTTTTTATTTATAAAAATATTATGGATTGGGTTGAGCTGATAGGAAGAGAAAGAGTAGTACACGGGCTTATAGGAATAATAGTACTAAATTTTTTTTTTTCAATTGGACCTAGGCTGTAGCCCAGGTTAGCCCATTACTAGTTCCTCCCTTAGTTACAAAAGAATTCTAGAATGGGGTCCATGACCAACAAGAAAGAAAAAAGGGTCAGTTTTTTATTTTTATTATTTTTCACACCCAAAAACAACACCTTCCGTGGCACTATTCCGCAATAAGTTGGTCCATTGTTTCGGCTATAACATCTTTGGCTTTACACAAACTAATTCCAAGGTGAGTTCCCTGCCAATCCGACTCATTGCTCAACCATCAGAGTCATCGATATATCTCTTGTAGGAGAAATTCCAACTGAAATAGGGTTATTGTTTAAACTTTTACAATTGCTTCTTTATAGTAATCATTTCACTCCCATTTTTATTTGGGAATCTCTCCTCTCTTAAATAACTTAATCTGATGTCTAAACTTTCTAATTTACAATATCTTAATACCCTTCAAGAACATTTTTTTTATAGTGCAATCTTTAACTATTACTAGTATAGAGCTCCGAAAAAGAATAAAATAATAATAATAAAGGGTAAAGTACAGCCACACCCCCTGAGGTTTGGCAAAAGGACACTAAGATGAAACTTACCTATTTTTTGGACAAAGACACCTCCTGAAGATTCAAAAATGGACAAAAACACCCATTTACATAAGAAATTGACCAAATTACCCTTTGACCGTTTAGGAGACTTTTTTAACTTTAAAATTTAATAAATTTGACCAATCTACCCCCATGAAAATTTATGCATAAAAAAAAAGTAACCAAAAAAAAAAACTTTATGTTATTCACTTTTTTTATTTACTTTATAAATGTCCCAACTTCTTAAAAATGCAGACGTCTAAAATGATTTTTTGATCCAATACATATATTTCAAATAAATTATATTTTGTTATTATTTCTTTTCTTTTTCTTTTTTATTTTTAAATTAAGATGCTTAATTCTTTCATCTAAAAAAATTTATCCAATCTCTTTTCCTTAAAAATAAAAAATATAGTACCAGTATAACTTTATGCATCTTAAATTATATATCAAATATTATGCATTTCCCAACATAAAAGGGAAAAAGATAATAATAAAACAAAGGGGGAAAAAAAAAAAAAAAAAAAAAACAAAGGCATGCATAAAGCTATACTGAAATCTATTTTCTTTTATGTTGGAAAATGCATAATATTTGATATATAATTTAAGATGCATAAAGTTATACTGGTACCATATTTTTTATTTTTAAGGAAAAGAGATAGGTTTAATTTTTTTAGATGAAAGAATTAAGCATCTTAATTTAAAAATAAAAAAGAAAAAAGAAAAGAAGTAATAACAAAATATAATTTTTTAAAAATATATATATTGAATCAAAAAATCTTTTTAGACGTCTACATTTTTAAGAAGTTGGGACATTTATAAAGTAAATAACAAAAAAAAAAAAAAAAAAAAAGGTGAACAATATAAAGTTTTTTTTTTTTTTTTAATTACTTTTTTTGTATGCATAAATTATTCATGAGGGTAGATTGGTCCAATTTATTAAATTATAAAGTTAAAAAAGTCTCCTAAACGGTTAAAGGGTAATTTGGTCAATTTTTCATGTAAGGGGGTGTCATTGTCCACTTTTTAACCTTCAGGGGTGTCTTTGTCCAAAAAAAAGGTAAGTGTGTTCTTTTGCCAAACCTCAGGGGGTGTGGCTATACTTTACCCAATAATAAATTAAAAGAATGGTACATTATTCACGCTAACATTACACAAACAATTTGATCAACGAGCTTAGATTTTATAGAAAGAAATTTCAAAATCTAAGCTACAAATCCAGAAAATTGAATTGTACAGTTGACAAGAAAATGAGAACGAGTAATTACATGGACCGGTGTTTTGACAATGTGATGAGAGAGGTGGTTGGGGAGAGCGTAGGGGTCGTGGTCGAGGTCAATGAGCGCCGAACGGACAAAATACCGGAAAGAATGGTGAACGGGATGGTGTCGTTCGTGCTAGACGATGCCTTGGTACAGAGACACCGGTTCAGTTCCTTCGGCGGCGGATACATTAGCGACGGGCGAGGTGACAGCCGTTGGAGGAGTGAAGATGCAGTGCTGCAAGCCTGCAACTAAAGAAGGGTGAAGGAACAGTAAACATTTGTCTTATAATGTGGTTG